TGAGCCAACTGGACTGACAAAACCTTGTTGAAGAAGGTGTTTTAATGGCCATATAGGAAGTGTGATGAAGGCTACGGGGGTTGCTCCTTTTAGGCTATCACTGGAAGGGAGATGAGACTCTGGGAACACTTATTCATTACCCCAGTGGCAGATGTAATGCAGTAGGTCATTGTAACAGATCAGTGGGCCAAGGAATTGGTATGGCATATACAAGATAGACACAAGATGGTGGCAGGAAACCTAGGGGAAGCCCATCGAAAAATGAAAAGATATTCTGGTGACCAAGCTTCTGGTGAGGAGTATGAAGTGCGAGATCAGGTACTTGTGCAGCATGTCTCAGGTAAAAGGCCATTTCCAAAAGCCAGTTGGGAGGGTCACTGCTATGTAATGGACAAGACTAGTCCATCAGTACACCTGGTTCAGGTAAAGGGTGGTGTATCAATGGTTGCATGCTATGCAGCTGAAACTGTACAGAGAGCAGGACAGAAGGGAATCCACTGATGCAAAAAGAGGGAAGTGAGAATAATTGTTTTCTTTTTCAGGTGTTGACCATCGTGGGAGGCATAACACGCACTGCCTTGGGGTCTGTGGAATTCGTGATCCAGCAGAGGAACAAGGTGATGACAATGCACGAGGGGAGAATGCCACTTTAGCCTTCTGGCTCCTGGGTAATCATGCAGGAAAGTCTGCACTGTTCTGGTGCCAACTGGGCAACAGCCAAGGTGGCGGATGCTGCAGCACAAGCAACTCTCGGGAGCAGGTACTTGGACTGGGGGACCTAGATGGGGCAGTGCGTTACATGGGATGGTAATGGATAACCTAACCATTTATAGGGCACAGTTAACACACATGGGAAATATTACAGTGACTTCAGCAGATCGTTGAAGTACCACCTATATCATGCCAGCAAAGTGACTGAGACTTTGACCTTCTCTCGGAATGTGAGGAAGGACTGGCAGAGTACCACCACCACTCCTGAACACACTGGAGTAACAATGCCTCCTACTCCAGAATTGAAGCAAGGTGATGAAACATGCCTGAAAGAGAAGTGGGACCTGACAATGCACTAGTGATAAATCATGAACATCAGATTATGTATAATAATGTACAGTACCAAAAGATACCTGTAGTATTGAATTTAACCATTTTTACATTAGCACAGAAGCTCTGTCATGCAAAATATGTGTATTTCTATATGCAAATGCTAGCAAAAGTGGTGCCAAATTTCAGACAATCAATGGATGGGGTGGAAGAGGAGGAAATTTGGTGGCCTGAGAAGGGAAAGAGAAAGATGAAGAAAGATAAAAGAGATCTAGGAACAATAAAAGAGATATAGGAACAGTATTAGGAGTTGGGGTGTTGGGAACTTCCACATGGAATCATATAGATATCACAGTATTGTGGGAGGAAAACCTGAAAATGAGACTTAAATTACAAAACCTGTTAACAAAGTTACATAAACAACAGAATGGGGGTATAGGGGAGGATTTAAAGGCTGTTCGGGATGCTAGGATAACAGGACAGCTGTTATGGGAAGTGGAAGCAGCAATCAACTAAATGGGAAAAATCATGAACCATCCTCATGTATCAAAGGCATGATATAGTATGGCTTAAGGTATGGCAGCTTCCTAATACTGGAGCTACAGGTAGGACTAAAGGAAACTCGAGGTGGGGAAATGCCTGGGTTCAGAACAAATAAGATGCTAGACAGAAATAAAGGGAGTAGAGTGGTGCAAGGTTAGGTGCTACTCGAGGGTCTGTTATGCTGAGAAAAGGTGCAAGCTTGATGAACCATGGATCCTTCCTCTGGTACTAGCAGTGCCAGTGGCCACAGGACCAAGTGAGGCATTAAGAGTGTATAGTGTCCAGTCCATAGGTACGTTGGAACCTTCGTTGACATATTACATCTCAAAGGAACATGTATCAGAGGGGTAGCCATGTTAGTCTGGATCTGTAAAAAGCAACAAAGAATCCTGTGGCAATAGACTAACAGATGTATTGGAGCATAAGCTTTCTGGGCGAATACCCTCTTCGTCTCATGCGTTTGACGACGTGAGTATTCACCCACGAAAGCTTATGCTCCAATACATCTGTTAGTCTATAAGGTGCCACAGGACTCTTTGCTGCTTTTCAAAGGAACATGTCACACATCCTCAGACACCGGAAAGGATGGGTGGGGGAGTCTGGAAAGCCCCAGATACCTCACATTGTTCCAAGAGGCATGGTACCTGGTTGTGTTGTTGTGATGTACTGCAGAGTGCATTGCTGGCATGGGGGTTCATCTTGGATGAAGAAACCTGGAATTGCACAGTATGGCTGAGGCAAGGAGGACAAGGTCAGCCAAGGTTGCAAGGGCTGGAGAAAGCAAATATTGTATAAGCTCTTGGGCCGGACACTTCCAGTATGGGACACAAACATGCTGTTATGACTGGCCAATCTTCTGCCAAGAAATTTTACCTGAATAGGGGACAAGATAGTTTTTCCAGTTCCCCAGCATGAGATCCACAGTGTATCAGCTGATGCTCATCTGGTTGGTGCTGCCCTAGACTGCATGATAAAGCTAAGCTGAGTCAGACCACCACTGCACTGAAATGTGCAGGCTTTAATGAGCAGATGCCCAGAACATTTGTTGACCTTAAAACAAGAGAGTTGAAATATTCAGAGCAACTTAGATACACTGGGAAATGCTCCATGGTGGGAGTTAGTATATAATATTGGGGAACATCCACGGATACGTATGATATCAATGGATTTCACAGTTGCACAAGCCATACTAGTAGGGGTGTTAATTGCATTGATCTGGAAGGTTAGGAGGCAGTTGGGAAAGAGAAGAGATGTATATGAAATACAGGCTTAGATGAAGCCTTAGAAAGGATTCTATGGCTTCACGGTGGGGAGTGTTGGGAGCGAAGGCATATGTAGGCCTGACAGGGGATTTTAAGAGTCTGTGCTTATAACGTTTAACGGCATAAGCATAAGTAGAGCCGTGTATGTGTGAGAGATTGCAGAGCAATCATGTTTGTGAGAATAAGAAAAGATAAAATCACTAAAAAGCTACAAAAGATCGGTTTGAACTAACACAACACCTGTACCGATGCGGGAGGAGAGTTGACATGGAAATGAGAGACTGATACCTATGTATAAGACAAGATAACAAAAAGTTATAAATCATTTGCATAACAAAGGGAGGTGGAAGCTGTATTGTCCGGTGCTGGCGGCGACTGTGATGAGATCGTCCTAATGAGCTTCCTACTTGTAAGTAATTGATCACTACTTGCTGAGTATTTTCCCTTAATAAATATGTGTTAGATCTATCTGTTGAGTAAGTGAACCTCAATGGAACAATCTGTATCGAGTGTACAGATACCTCCTTCCTATTCCCATCAGCATGAGAAGGGCTGTCTTGAGGAGCCGTAACCAGGAAGCACAAGGGCACTGATTCAGGGGCGGAATTTGCCTCTATTCCCACAAGACTACATGGGAATCCTTACACTTGACAGAAAGACAATGGGCAAAGACTGAATTAAATGTGAGGCAAAACCTGAAGGAGATCACCTGCTGACAAAGTTAGAGACAGCGACCGTGTAATATACAGAGATGGTATCTCCTCCAGCACACACCACCTGTGAACTCTATCTCCTCCCAGCAGTTTTACCAAGGAGTAACGCTTTTGCTTTTCTCACCCTCCCCGGAAGAGACCACTCCTTGTGCCATCAACGCTCACAACTCTGTGTAATGCACAAAGCCCTCTATTGCAGAGGGATTTCTGTGGCTGTATTTTTCATCGGTTGAGCACAAATGTAGTGAAGGGGTGTGGTCTAGTGGATGGTGCCCTGCCCTGGGATACCTAGCCCTGGCTCTGCCACTGGCTGACTTTGGGCAAGTTACTGTACTGCCCCATGCCTCCGTTTCCCCATCTGTAGAGGGGGGATAATGATACTGATCTCCTTTGTAAAGTGCTGTGAGATCTACCGATGAAAAGTGCTGGGTATTCTGAAAAGTACTGTACTGTGAGGTGCAGAAACGGACTTTTCCCACTCAGGAACAGGTGCAGCATCCATGCTGGCCTATCCCATGCCACCTCATCCAGCCAGCTCAACCTTGGCCAGGAGGGACAAGCTCTACAAATAAGTACTTCTGTTTCTAATCCTGCCCATTTCGGTTCTTGGCCTCTCTGCTGAGACTACCTGAAACGATGCCAGTTGGTGACCTTCACCTTGCACGAGGGCTACCCCCTTCTCCACTAAGAAATGGGCGGATCTCACTCTCAGGGCTGGAATGAATCTGTTGCCAGGATGTCAGGCTCCAAAACAAGAACGGAAGCAGGGCCACTCTGTATCTCCCAGCACGAGGTGGCTCTGCATGGACTCGTTCACTCCAGCTCCTGACCAGTGGATCCCTCGGTGATTTTCCTCCCTCCCGCCCTGCTCCACCACCCCTGTTCCCCACACACACACATGCATGCACATACACGCACGCTCCCCCCAGCTCTTCCCTTCCCTTCTCTGCCTCACCTTTCCATCTCCCCTGCTTCCCAAGCTCCCTGGCCCTCTTACCAGGTCCGTCTGGTAGTATTCCCTGATATAGCACCGCCACCGACATTACAGCCCATTGGCTCCTCACAGCAGCAGCCAGAGGGTGCACAGCAAGAGACTGCAGCGGCAGCCTCAGAAAGCTTTCCCGCCCCTGTCTCACTACTTGATGCTCAGGCCTAGAAACTTTGTCCTGTTGTCCTCATCCCCAGCCTGAGGTGACAGCTGTGTCCTGACGTTACATCGCAGCCTTGCAACACTGCGCCATGACAATGTCATGTAATGCTACATCATAATAGTGAGCTGTAGGCACGGCAGCATGATAAACTTGTGTGCACTGACCCACAATTATTTCCACCAGACTTTAGTGGTCTTGGCAGCATTAGGGATGGTCCCCCAGCTTTGGAACTTTGTCAAAAATCAGCTCACCAGTTCTCCTTCTGCAAAGGAGCATGTGTGTTTCCTTACCTCCTCAAATTTGTAAGCTATCATGGCAAAGGCCTTGAAGATGGCATCAGTGGGGCCTGTGATGGTCACAATTCTTTCCGGACAGTTTCCCTCAGAGATGTTGATTCTTGCTCCACTCTAGAAAGAAAAGAAAAACATCTTCTCAGCCCTTTAAAAAGCCCATCAACCTGCACAGTCCCACACTGAACCATAGCTGGCTACTGACCTAGAGAAACAGGCTAGAGGTTCACCAATGACCTCAGCTCTTGCAATCTGACCAGTGTGTAGGCAGAGCCCTGCACCCATGTGGACTGCTGGTGGCTCCCCTCCAATGTAAAGGTACGCTGGCAGGGGTCAGGTTCATTTAAAAAACAAACAAACCTTTTATACGGATGTGACAACCAATCAGTACACAAAAGCACAAAGTGCTCAGACAATGAACTTGTAAGGCAAATTAATGGTTCAGGTAAATCTCCACTGAAGTTAATGGGAGCTTTCCTGAGTATGGCATGAATAAAATCTGACAAAGGGTCTCTGGACGTAGCCTACATTTTTATTTTATGCAGCCTGCTTAAATTTCTTGAATAACGGGTCAATGGTCTTTAGTACTGAGTATGTAACTAATTGCATGTTTTCTCATAGATAAAATCAAATATCTGCAGAGCTCTAGGCAACTATACACCGAAACTCCCACAAACTGGGCCGTAGGAGCAAGGCCTTTCCATTAGTCTCCATGTCGCTTTCATTAGAAATCATTTCAAATGTCTGGGTAGCTCACCTCCTCACGCATCTTTTTCACGGTCTCTCCTTTCTGAAATAAGATGCAGAAACACAACCATTAGAATATCATCAATAGCTTCATCCAAACACCTATCCTGATACTGAAACTTCGTAAAGTTTCTAATACGTTTTCATAAAATACAAATACATAAAATACAGTTTAGAAAGCTGGGAGAAGAGTTCACCCCCTGCTCCCCCTCCCCAATCCTGCTAGAGCTTTGAAGTGTATTTGTATTCTGAGAATAGACTATTAACAATTTCCTTTTCATACTCTACAGATTTTATCCCTGCGTGAATTGGAATCATGTCTGCTCACTTAACTGACAAAACAGCATTCAGATCATTCTCATAGCGATTCACAATGAGTTTCTTCCTTTCTAAATGTCCTTCGCCATGGAAGAAGCTCAAAGACATTCATACCCATAAAAAAGTTGACTAAACAATCTGAGTTTGATAAGAAAATAATGGAAAAAACAAGGGCCATGTGTGGAGGGACAAGCATCCTCCCTCTTAACAGTCGTTGTAATGACCCCTTCTTCTACCGACCTACCAATCTGTCAAAACACTTCAGCCTTCTCCAGTAACGGTCCTCCACAATGCTGTAGTAACATCACTGCAAGCATTGTTCTTTGGGGGCAGTGCCATAGAATATCATGGCACTTTTCATAAAGGTCCAGTGGGGCAAATGATATTCTATGTTCTTTACTGTAACTGCCATCCAATTTTGAATTTTAACACATAAGCACCTGTCCATTTTTCAGGAAGGTTGTAATTGTAATTGGAGCAGTTGTGTAAACAGGTCACTTATAACTGAGTACTCTGCTATAGAAGAATTGTAGGAATTTCTTTGTTGTTATGCTAATTTGCCAAGGTCATGAAACCAATGTATTTATTGACATTTTGCTACTCTTGTGATGAGATTCATCTTTTTCCTTAATGTATCAGTGGGAACAAAATTATCATCATCCCAGAATGAACATATATATTAGTAGCCAGAGTGACACAGCAATAGTGATAGACTAAAAAAATGACAGTATTTTAGATGCATTTTGTAAGGAGAACATTCTTTGATTTCTTCTTCAGTTACATGAATAATCTATCATGCAATCAGAACAATAGATCCACATAACGATAATTTTCAGAGGTGTGTCATGCAATAATTAACAGCTGTAAAAATACAGGTTATAACTACTATACAACTAACATATACAATGATGGAATTTGAAGAAATATTTACCTTCCCAATAATGCTTCCAACTTCCTATAAAAGACCCAAACACAAAGACAGAAATTACAGAATTTAAGAAACTCCAATAAAATCTCATAGAGATATACAGGAGTTGGTGCACTCACTGAATTCAGTGAATTATGAACCACACAGAGCAATTTTCAAACAGCCACAAAAAACACGGAGCAGAAAGGGAATTACTTCTTTATTTCAGAGGGGTGCTCACTTGTGTTTCCCAAAGGTACATGGTGCTCTGCCCTGAGGAGGTATAAACTCTGTTTGCTTTCTGAGGTGCCTCATAGACAGTGTTGGTTCTGAACTATGGCCCCGGTTCAGGAGATCACGTAAGTACATGCTTTCCTGAATGGGGCCTGGATGTCTGCAAAGTGAAGCCGAGTGGCTGCATGATCTCCTGGACAAGCTGGTTGCGAGGCAGCATAGAACAGAGCTATAGCAGTCTCATGGCAACATGTGCAAAAAACCAGTATCTATGTAATAAAGGGGGCTTTAATTTTTTTTTTAAAGAAAATATGTCTCCTAAACATGGAACTATGACTCTCAGAAGAGAGCAATCAGTTGTGTTTCAGTTCCACGGTACGTGGCCCTCCTCCAGCACATGAGCATGCATGTCTTCTGGCACGTTCAGCCAGTCAAGCAAAACGACAGGCTGTACATTCCCAGGTAGGCTGTATTACACTACATGACTTCACAACGAGTTCAGAAGTGGTTTGTGTTGCGGTTGATTAGCACAGCCATTCCCACAGTGAGCAAGTGAGAGGAATGTCTGTCACTCAGAGCACTACTGACACATTAGGGGGAGGCACACACCTTCCCAAATGCCATCAGTTGGAGAATTGGACTTTCCTCTAGAGCCTCATTTCTCAGCTGGAGGATTGTGACCCCTGGGGGGTTATGAGAGGCCAACGGGGGAAGGGTTGCGAGGTGTTGAAACTTCTATTACAGTCTAAAGCAAAGGAAATCTCATTCCCCCACTCCCCATAAACCCTTCCATTTCAAGATCAAGTATTCTCTGTCAGCCTCTTGAAACACACCCACAAATCAATGATACAGGCTTACCACTGAAACGTATTTTGCTCTTACTCTTTTAATAAATGTAAGGGGACCACAAACATCTTTGACTTTAAATACTAAGTCAATGCCAACCTGAGAAGGTTGAGAAACACTGCTCTAAAGCTGTGGAATGGTGCTAAATTCATGTGACTTCAATGTATAATAATACTCCATCAGGTCTCATCCTTCACTAAGCTGTGCAAAGAGCTCCTTGCCTTTAAAAGCGGGAAATGAAGAGGAAGAGTCTTGATATCATCTCCTTGGTACACAGACTTCTCCCAGACTTCCCCACAGACTGGGCCTGCTGGGGAATACTGGGAGAACTGATCAAAAATACCAGACAATATCGTTGTCTGGTATTTTTGATCAGTTCTCCCAGTATTCCCCAGCAGACCCAGAGTTTTCAAAGGCATGAGGTGGGTGGGCACCAAGGCTGCAGGGCACCAGTCTGACTCACGCTGGTTTCCTGAAAGGTTTTGAAAGCTTGGGATGGGCAGAGCTGTGGCTTTGAAACCACAAGGTGCCATTTGCCTGAGCAGGCTGCTTGGGCTGACACCTGCAGTGAAGGCTCTTGGGGGGAAGCAGTCCCTTGTTCACACGGCACATAAGGGCTGCACCAATACAGCCATGGTCACAGCTGTCGACTGCTGGCACCCGAGGAGTCTGACAGGGCACACTGAGTGGGGGGCACGGCTGACAGAGACACTGTCTCTCATCACAGCAGGGCACTGGGTGGCACCGTCTGTGACTGTAACGCCTTGGCTCACGATGGTGACCAGGAAACGGGAGTGAATGAGGCGGGAGGGGCTGTGGCTCAATGTGGCTGGAGACCCGAGTGCAGCCAGAGAGCTTGCGGGGAGGGGAATTCGGAAAGGAATCTATGCAGTCTAGGAGTCTGTGCAAAGTCTATGCAAATGACCCATGCTCATGGCCCTGCATGTCTGCACCCATCTGCGTCTCCCTAGCATGTGGAAACCATTCATTACATCGTGCACTCGGGGAGCAGCTGGAAGAAGTGGAACATGGTCAGAGAGGTGCTTGGTGTCCCAGTGCACAGCCCAGCATGGGCCTGGGAGATGCTGAAAAGAAACCTGAGCATGGGCACGGCTGGTCCCGGTGATGGGCCGTGGAGGGATGCACTGTCTGGGAGAGGACAAGCTAAGCTTCTGCCCTCACATAGAAATACTGCGCTCCAGGGTCCCACGCTCACCAGTGCTGAGCTGTCAGGCAGCTCCAGAGCAAGAAGAACAAGCGTTCTTTGCAATGCTGGGCTAAAGACAATGGCTAGCCACAGTCGGAGGGGGTGCTGAAGGGTGGGGTCTGGCCCCAGAGGCTGCTATCCCCAGCATCCAGAATATCAGACTCCCCATCTCCCCACTCCTGCGCTCCCCTGGGCCCGCTGCCCCGTCCCTCACTCCAGCAGCTGCCCAGGGTAGAGATGTGCGCTCCGGTCTGCTCTCTCCCATCGTCTGCCTCCGGCGGATTCACCTGCCTGCACGAAGGGCTGCACATGTTGCACCAGAGAGCACCCCTAGGCCCTGTTCCTGCTGCGCCCTCACACACAAGGGCACCAGGAAGTGGGCCAGGTGTGTTCCCCCCAGCCCTGCCTGACCTGGTCTCTGAGCATGGTGCCCACAGTGTTAGCCTGAGGAGCACCACCCTCTGGGGCTGGTGGGCTGGGGCCCGGAACACCTTCAAACATATTACTGCATACTATGGGTATGGGGGGGTTACATTAACACAAGCATTGCCCTTTGTCCCTCCAGCCCTGTCCCATGCCACAGACCAGTGGCTTTCTCCTTGTCTCCCTCTCAGTGTGGCCCATCCCTGGCAGGGGGGCATCTTCCAGGCCCCTCCATGCCGCCTTGTGCCTTTGCCTCAAGGCACCTCCCGCGCTTTTTCCAGCAGAGCCCTGCAATGGTGGAAGGCTGGTGGCTTGTGGTGGAGAATGGGGAGAGGGACAGTGCCTTGACCCTGGTCTGTGTTCGCTATCTCAGCCCTTGGGATGGCTGGAGAGGGCCCTCCAGCTGGTGCCAGTTCACGTGATAACATGGGGCCAGAGTGTGCGTGTGAGGGTGTGGCAGGGAGTCCCCCTCACTCTGTGTCTGTCTAATGGATTGTTCCCACTGCTCTGCCTGGAGAGCAGTGGCAGGGCTGAGCCAAAGCCATGCATGTCCTGCCTCCTGGGCCCTTAGCCCAGCCCTGCCCAGAAGATGGCAAGCAGAGGGGCAGTCTATCTGCTCCTGCTGAGTTTGTCATGCGAGAGCAGGTGGAGCCGTGACATCGCTCAACCTGTGCAAGGGGGGAAGTCAGCTGTACTCCTGCCAGGGCTGGCCCAAGCAGGGAGCAGGAATTGCACCCCTCGGAGTCACAGTTCCCTCCCAGGCTTCTCCTGGAGCAGCGCAGTGACACGGTGCCCCTTGCTCGGGGTGGGGCCGAACAGCGCGATCTAGCATTTCACCTTCCTCCATTTGGTAAACACTGATTACTTCATTGTTACGGGCAATGGAGCTGAAATGAAGACAACAAAATGTGCATCCGCTCCTTACCTTTCCATGCATGAGCAGCCGGATGGTGAGAGTAACATTCAGGCCACCTTCCGAGACTTTTGATTCCATTTCCTACCGAGTACAGGAGATGTGTGGTAAGGAACAGGGAGGCCCCAAGGAAGGACAAGACAGCCCTAAAACAATCACCTGTAAGGAGACAGAGGAAGAGCTGCTTAGTGCTCCCTGCTTTATGAATCAGTGGAGTCTACCAGCTGATTTCACTCTTTCCACAACACCTGCTGCCAATGGCCGGGGACTTGGACAGGGCCTTCCGTGGAACACGAACAAGCTTGGAGGCAAGGGACATTTGTAAGGTTCTGTTCACTGACCGATGGGGAGATGCTTTACTCTGCCCTTGCCCTGCTCAGCTAGGCATGCATCTCCCGTGGTCAGGGCTCCTGAATACTCATGGGTTTGCTTCTTTGTTTTTGTTACAGTAAAAGGATGTGGGTGCATGTATGTGACACGCAGTACATTGCTTGTGCGACATGGCAAGAGCTCGCTGCATGGGGCACATCAAAAACAGAAGAGTGAGGAAGGGGCTCACCCCCGTCTGGGACAGACAAAGGGTATGTCTACACTGCGGCTGGCCCGTGCCGGCTGACTCAGGCATGCAGGGCTCAGGCTAAGGGGCTGTTTACAGGTTCCCCTCCCACCTTGCAGGGTCCTAGATCCCAGGCTCCAGCCCAAACCTGAACGTCCACACTGCAATTAGACAACCCTGGAACCCAAGCCTGAGTCAGCTGGCACAGGCCAGCTGTGGGGTTTTAATCACAGCGTAAACACACCCAATGAGTGCAGCCAGTCTTTGTAATACAGATTTTTCATCTTGCTTATAACCAAGAGTAGAACCTACCCAGCCAGCTTTTCTTCCCAGCGTGAGGTGCTAGCTCTGCTCATGTGCTGCTGAACTTTTATTTGTGGTTTTCTCTTTGGGTCAGCTCCTCGGCTTGCAGATCTCCAGCTTTACCAGCTGCATAGGAATTCTGCAAGGGGAATCCCTGCTTGTCGAGAGCCGGCTCAGTGCTACCCCCACCTCAGGCAAAGTGGTGGGAATGGGGAAGAGGGAAGTGTGCCTTGGGGCATAGGGAGCCTGACATGCACCCGGGGCCAAAGCATTCTCTGGATGGCCCAAGGATCAGAGAAACACAAAGGTGGTGTGTGCTAAATTCCCTCTGGTCCTGTGCCAAGCACACCTGGGTGTGCCAGAGAACCTGGGCCAGATGTTTATTGTCTACAACTGCAGCTGAAACCAAACGCATCCAGTGGGCTGTTATACTCACTAGCAGCCACAAGCAATGACGCTTTTTCCGATTGGTTACATGTGAGCTATAGACATTCATGGATACATGGCGAGAAGGGACCATCAGATCAACTAGTCTGACCACCTGTGTAGCACAGCCCATTACAATTCACCCAGTTACCCTGTCCTCAGCCCAGGCATTTGTGTTTGTATAGGCATATCTTCCAGAAAGGCATCCAGTCTGAAGACATCACAAGATGGAGAATGCACCACTCCCAGGGAGGTTGGCTCCAATGGATAATTCCCCATCACTGTTAACAATCCAAGCCTGACTTCTCATTTGAATTTGTCTGGCTTCAGCTTCCAGCCACCGGTGCTTGTTACATTTTTCTCCACTAGATTAAAGAGCCCTGTAGTATCTGGTATTTTTCTTCTTGTGAAGGTCCTACACATTTCAGTTCCTTCCATTTGACTTAACGGACCAATCATTTCATCCATCTAACCCGCCAAAACATATGCCCTTAAGGCAATGGAAAACCTTCCCTCTCTCCACTGGACCAGTGAGTTGCCCTGTGGGACCATGACAGCCAGCAGAAGACCGCTGTACTACATTCATTACAGCCATCTGCAATTGCTCTTGGTTTCCACATGGCAATGTTACATGGTGGAAGAAACAGGGCCGGCCCACAACATTTTGGCACCTGAGGCCGGGAGCTCAAATTTGAATCGAAAGGTCTCAATTCTGCCTTCTTCCTGTTCTACTCCTCTCATGGTACTGCTCAGCTGCCTACCCCAATAAAGAACTAACAACTTAATATGCCTTGTTCAAAAATTTTAAGTAACACTTAACTTTCAAACGCCTGAACAGCAAACGTAACTTTTTCTTGTCTGCATAGTAAACACTGGCATTTTTATCTGTTTGAATAATCAAAGTGGTGCTTTCCGTGCTGCCTTGGTTGCAAAGATTTGAACTGCTTCCTGCTGAAGGTCCACAGTCTGGACCAGCTCATGCTCTATTGAGATGGTTGCAAGGCCGACCGGCCTCTCCTGTGTCATTGTGGAGCGTAGATGTGTTTTTATTAACTTCAGCTTGGAGAAGCTGCGTTCTCCACTGGCAACTGTTACAGGAAGTGTTAGAAGTATGCGCAGAGCAATAAAAGCATTTGGAAAGAGGGTGGTCAGCTTATTTGTGCACGTATATTCCAGAACAGCCTTTGGAGTTGATCCTGTTGAAATGTATCTTGAAAGGGCTCTCAATTAATCACCTAAATCACTCGCATCAATATCTGTGCATCTAGAGCAGAGAGAATACATATGCACCAGCAGCAGACACAATTTTCTACACCCTGGGTCCTAGTGGCGCCCCCCAGAGTCTGGCACCTGAGGCGGCTGCCTCAGTTCGCCTCATGGTAAAGCCAGCCCTGGGAAAAATGTCCCTGGCACATAGTCCTATGGTAGAAGGAGCTCCCCTTGGGGAGAGAGGAGATGGGAGAAAGCCGCACATCATTAGGGTGCATGGCTGATTAAGCTAGGGTTGGGAGAGACTGGAATGACCAAACTCCATCAGTAACATTTCACATTCAGGAGGTCACCATTCAATGATTATTTGTATTGTAGCAGCCCTGGCAGCACCATGCCTCATGGATCATGGCCCTTCTGTGTGTCCCCCTCTTCCCTTCTCCTTCCCCATCACTTTCTTCTCCTCCATTCTTGTCACTGATGGAGATGTCTCCCCACTCTCTTCCTGTAACCTCTCCATTCACCCCAGCAACCCCATCCCATACTGTTTCATGACCTCCCTTATACCCACTCTCTTCCTGTTTTCACTTCTCTCTTACACTTTTCACTGCCTATCACTCTCATCTACTTTCTTCCCCTCACAATATAAGCATTGTCTCCCAACCATAAAACCCCACAGAATCATAGAAATGTAGGACTGGAAGAGACCTCGAGAGGTCATCTAGTCCAGTTCCCTGCACTAAGGCAGGACTATGTATTATCTAGACCATCCTTGACAGGTGTTTGTCTAACCTGCTCCTAAATACTCCAGTGACGGATATTCCACAACCTCCTAAGGGAATTTGTTCCAGTGCTTAACCACCCTGACCATTAGGAAGTTTTCCTAATATCCAACCTAAATCTCTGTTGCTGCAGTTTAAGCCCATTGCTTCTTGTCCTATCCTCAGAGGTTAAGGAGAACAATTTATACTTCTCCTATTTATGTACCTTTTATGTACTTGAAGATTGTTATCATGTCCCCCTCAGTCTTCTCTCCAGACTAAGCAAACCCAATTTTTTCAAATCTTCCCTCACAAGTCATGTTTTCTAGACCTTTAATCATTTTGTTGCTCTCTTCTGTAGTTTCGACTTTCTCTAATTAGTCCACGTCTTTCCCTAAGTGTGGTGCCCAGAACTGAACACATTATTCCAGGTGAGGCCTTATCAGCACGGAGTAGAGCGGAAGAATTATTTCTCGCGTCTTGCTTACAACACTCCTGCTAATACATCCCAGAGTGATGTTTGATTGTTTTGTGACAGTGTTACACTGTTGACCCATATTTAGCTTGTGATCCACTAAAACTCCCAAATCCCTTTCCGCAGTACTCCTTCCTAGTCAGTCATTTCCATTTTGCATTTGTGCAATGATTGTTCCTTCCTAAGTGGAGTACTTTGCATTTGTCCTTATGGAATTTCACCCTATTTACTTCAGACCATTTCTCCAGTTTGTCCAGATCACTTTGAATTTTAATTCTGTCCTCCAAAGCACTTGCAACCCCTCCCAGCTTGGTATCGTCTGCAAACTTTATCAGTGTACTCTCTATGCCATTATCTAAATCATTGATGAAGATATTGAATAGAACCAGACCCAGGACAGATCCTTCCAGTTTGACTGTGAGCCATTGATAACTAATCTCTGAGTGTGGTTAGAACCATAGAATTCCAGGGTTGGAAGGGACCTGAGGAGGTCATCTAGTCCAACCCCCTGCTCAAAGCAGGACCAATCCCCAGACAGATTTTTGCCCCAGATCCCTAAATGGCCCCCTCAAGGATTGAACTCACAACCCTGGGTTTAGCAGGCCAATACTCAAACAACTAAGCTATCCCCCCCCCCCCCCCCCGCAAAACTGGTTCTCCAACCAGTTCCAACCATCCTTGACCCTTGATCCTGCCTTACTCTCCTATTACCTCCCTGTGACCCATGACCCTGCCTCACTCTCCTACCACCTCCCCATCTCCTTTTATCTCTAAACACATCGACTGTACTATCTACTAGAGTCACCTTCCCCATAGCCCTTCCGCTCTGGTTGCCGTCCTCCCCAGCCCACTGCGCCCATCAGGGTGTCTAATGCTCTAAGCCATCTTTGCACCTTCCCTATTCTTAGGCTTGCTGAGAGGCAGAAACAATTGCCACCACTCCCCCCCCCCACACTAGCCTGACTCTCCTCTTCCCCTCCCAGGAGTCCCCCTCACTGGCCTGACCTCCTGCCCCCTCCCTGGACCAACCCTGGGGCAATTTCTACCTCTTTATGTTACCAGAGAGGAATGGGAAATGAATCCCATTGTTTCCCTTCTAACCGCTCCCCAGGTTCTCCATCACCACTGGCAAAGTGTTTCAATCACGTTGTCTAGTCTAGGTGTGTTCTGCTGAACAACATCCTCCGTTTCGGACCGGGCTGAAATACCTACGGGGATGGAAAGTGGTGACATTGCATCTGCCACCCTCTCGCACCATTTATCACTCTTCTGAACTTGGTCCAGCAGAGAAAATAAGGCATGTCACAACCCCTGCACAGCCACGCCACAATTTACACAGAAACGGCAACAG